CTACACGTGTTTCTAGTGGGACTATGTTTACAAGCACAAGAGTTCAGCGAGCCACCGAAGGACCGCCCTGCAGATTTACTATTGGTTCTGCAACGTAGGGAGTTTTTTTAAACTCTGAAATTGTATCCGCCCATCTAAACACAAAATCAGGGAGAAAGTCATCAGTCTTTAGTTAAGCAAAGCGTCTAAAGACTGACTTGTGAGTCTAGGAACAGAGTGACTTTTATTGGATCCTACATTTCCCATGATGCACCTGGATACTGTGAGACTCAGTAACAGAGTCTGTCTGTGGGACAGGTGCGACCTACCTGAATCAGTGCCTGACCAGTGTTCCCAGTACAAACTGTTACTGTGGTGTTGTTGTTGTTGTTTTGACCGTCAGTATGAGAGACAACAAACGTTTACAACAATCAGCTGATCAAAACAATGACAGCCATGTTGTTTAAATGATCACATGACTGCTGCGTCATGTGACACGCTGTCTGTTCATACACATAAACTTCATGAGTTGATCAGTGAGGTTTGGTACAGGGACCAACTACACAACATCACAACTACACAACATCACAACACTAATATACAACAACAGAACATCACATAAACACAACATAAATACACAACATCTGCCAGGAGCTGTGCGACTCAAATACACAAAGACACAACAACAACACGTTAACACAACACCACAACAACACAACACAAATACACATCCCAACAACACAACACAAATACACACCACAAATACACATCCCAACAACACAACACAAATACACACCACAAATACACATCCCAACAACACAACACAAATACACAACACAAATACACACCACAACAACACAACACAAATACACATCCCAACAACACAACACAAATACACATCCCAACACCACAACACAAATACACACCACAACAACACAACACAAATACACATCCCAACAACACAACACAAATACACAAATACACATCCCAACACCACAACACAAATACACATCCCAACAACACAACACAAATACACATCCCAACAACACAACACAAATACACATCCCAACAACACAACACAAATACACAAATACACATCCCAACACCACAACACAAATACACATCCCAACAACACAACACTCCTATACGCCTCTCTGAGCTTCTAGTTCAGTTACCCAGCCATAGTTTTCATAGTTTCATACAAACAGTGTCTGTCCTCCGACCACCTGAATTATTTAAATAAAAATTAAAACCTCTTCTGTGACAGAAAGACAAAACAGGAGAATTAAATGCGGACTGTTAAATATCAGGTCTCTATCGTCTAAAGCAGTGTTAGTAAACGAATTAATATCAGATAATCATATTGATTTACTCAG